CGCGCTCGCCGAGTCGAGGAGCTGCCCACGGCGGTCGACGAGGGTTAGGTATGTCATGTGCTTTGCATTTCTGCCCTTTCGTCGCTGTGGCTTATGATTCTGTGTTTCCACAAACTCCGAAATGCTCAGAGGATTTGATCGAAACAAGTATTCTGATTTGAATCCACAGCCTTACCAGAGAGATTGGGGAATAAAAGGCGGAATTCTTAAGCGGCAGTGTAATAAACAAGTTCGGATTTAATTTACGAGTACCAATTAATGGACCAACGAGTTCCCAAATGGAATAGGATGCTTCATGCTTGAAAACTGCTAGGGAGTAGTAGCTATAAACAAGCAATGTTTACAAACTGAAAACGAAAATTACTAGAAGTTGCAGTTTACAGACGATCAATCACAATGCAGTTAAGCAAGCCACCTGCCACCCAACTTTATCTAAGCAAGATGTAATAGTAACATGGTAGGCGTTTCCTTTTCACCGTCCAGAAAAGATGGTTGCTTGTGACATCCCATTCCCATCGGTATAGCCAGAAGACTGGAAGGAACTCTCCGCGTTGCTTACTCCTGAAATCATCGACTGGAACTGCTTTGGCATTTCGGTATTCATGGAGTACTTGCGTCGAGGGGTCCCGGAAGTAGACTGCTTGTCGGTTGAAACCGCCGGCAACCACGTTTTGAGCCTTGAAACAACCTCTGTCATGGTGGGCCTGTCGATGGCTGCGTTTTCGACGCAGTTCAGGGCAAGGTCCACCGCACCCTGCAGGGAACTGACATCATACTGATCCAGCAGCCTCCTGTCTACGACATCATGAATGCTGCCTTTAGCTATCTTTTGCCGCACCCAATTCGGTAGGTGGACGGTTTGAGGGTCCATGAATACTGGGGATTGGCCGGTGATGATCTCCAAGAGCACGATTCCGAAGCTGTAAACGTCTGTCTTGACAGTGAGTTGGAAAGTTGCATGGTACTCAGGGTCGAGGTAGCCAAGTGTGCCAGCAGCAACAGTAGATATGTGTGTGTGAGCATCATTAAAAGCCCGTGAAAGCCCAAAATCAGATATTACCCCCACCAGATTCTTGTCCAGAAGGATGTTTGGGGTCTTCACATCTCTGTGTACTATTGATGGGGTGCATGATTCGTGTAGATACTCCAGTCCTGTAGTTTATTAGAACTCATACTTCATGAATACACACATATGGTACATGACCTAAAGGTAAACACATAATTGAAAATACGGACCTTGTGCAGCATCAAGGGCAATATAAAGTCGCTGTTCCCAAGTCAAACTATAATCATCTCCTGCAATCAAGATGTACCAAATTAATGTAAGGGCCATCTGATACGTGCATGTTAGCATAAGTACCATTTTTGCAATCCCTGCACATATTTTCTTAGATCGACTCTTTGCACATATTTAAGCTAACAGATGATGGTTAAAACACAAATGGTTAACCATAGCATCAATTGCCGTGTTAAGATCTAGACCTGCATAAACAGGCACTTTGATATCACTGCTTTTCATTCTGTTATCAGAGCATTTTTATATACAGTTCCAGTTAACAAACGGACCAAGATATTGGAATTATTCTTTTAGCATATATCTCTTAGTTTTTTTTGTTTCTTACTGGCTTTTGAAAGATGTACATGTTTCTAATTTGTGACTATCATGTCATGATTATGACTTAAGAATTTAATTGTGGTAGCCCCAATTTGTTAACCAAATATCTATGACCATGCCATGGTTCAGACTTGGAATGTGCAGCTGTAAGAATGCAGCTACGGTTGCCTCACTTCTTAGTCCACTATATATACAGAGTGAATTAGGCCTACCAACTCAACTGTATTAACTAGCAGCAGCAATAGCAGTTTAGGCAATCAAACTACACCTTTAACAAGAAATTCAGTTTTGAAAATCCTGACTGCAGTGCCGTGTCAAAGCCAGAATAGTTTTAGAATTTATTTTTTATACTTATGACTAGGTCCTGTCAAAATTTATTTTTATACTGTGAAGTACAATATATTTGTAAAATTTGAGAAGTAGGCGATTCCCAAGTTCTTAACCAAAGCTGTTGGCATCTGGGTCTCTGTGTAGTTGTTGGATTCTCAAGAAGTAAAACCCTGAATTGGTCAACTTGCTTTTTAGATTGAACAGGTTTAGGTTGGATTGAACATTCAATTTTATCTAGTTAAAGTACAAATGCCTCTGTAGAAATCGAATGCAAGTTAGTGATAATAACAAACTGCAAGTTGGATTTATTAAACCTAAGTCAATTATGGTTGATAGATACATTTAGAAAAGTTAAGAGAGAAACCTCCTTTTAGAAGCTGTTGAAGATTTCCTCTGGGCATGAAATCATAAACGAGTGCAAGACACTTCTTGTTCTGGCAATATCCTTGCAAAGTCACGAGATTCTTGTGATGAACTTTGGACAATGTTTGCACCTGCGGCAATAGATATAGTTACCAAACATCCTAGAGCTGAAGCCAGTTGCGTCATTTTATTCAATACATACTGTGGAAATTGTTTTAGATGTCATGCAGACTTATAGTTTACTTTTGGATGACTTGTAACAAACGTTGGAATAATTGAGGCTGTATGCATCTAGTATGATGCAGAGGATGGCGGTAATAAAAGCTTCCAGTTTCAGAAAAAAAACGTTTTTATTGAAGAATGTCATGTTGTGGCCTAGTTGGTTTTGTGTTGTACCTCAGGGAGGAAGTCTGTTGACTCTGCTATTGATGTCTCCATAAGCACCTTGACAGCTACCTCATCACCATTTTCCAGTGTGCCATGATAAACAATACCAAAACCTCCTTTTCCGATGATTGATTGAAAGTTGTTAGTTATGAGTTTCAGCTCTGCGTATGTGAACCGTCTGATATCAATATGTAGGGGAGTTTCCTCTTCATACATAGCATAATCTTCATCGTCTCCTGACTTCCCTGCAGAGTCAAGAAGTTGTGTTTAACATGAAAGTTTAGGTACGGAGCTGCTCTCTTATGTTTGCCACCTATTGCATTGATGAAAGGGAAATTTAGAGCATATCATTTTGTTTTACCTTTCCAGTATAACTTCCAGAGTATGCCCATCACTACTAGGAGGGATACCAGTACCACAGGAACTATCACTGCGATGAGCACAGTAGATGTCTTCTTCTTCTTATTTGAACAGTACGTATCTTTGACTTTTGAGCATATGGGATTGCCTTCTAATCTAGGGGCACAATTCGACAACATATAGAAAAATGAACTCATAAGATGTTAGTGTGGTAGGCCAAAAGTATGACACTAACTAAACTGTGGCCAGAGGAAGTCAAACTTGCGTAACTCTAATCTGGTAAAGTGTGGCATATTTGTTATATGTGCAAAGACTGTTGCTAAACCTTGAATTTCTTCTATGAGACTCAACCCTGTTTCTTTGCAGTTTTGTTTTTTGGTTTTATCCATTTTTTTATGTAGTACTCCCTCCGATCCATATTACTTGTCGCTCAAATGGATGTATCTACATGTATTTCTGTGCTAGATACATTCTTTTGAGCGCAAGTAATATGGATCGGAGGGAGTAATAAATTGTGCAACATTCAGTTAAAACAAAAGGAATTACGCAACAGATCATGCAAACCTTAAGTCAAGCAGACCAGCGTGAGATCTTTGAAGAATAGAATCCGGGATTGGCCCATCAAGCTGGTTATATGACAAATCGCTGTAAAATAATAGTTAAAACCATTCTCTAAAACTTATATCATCAACCAAATATTATAATCAGCACAGAGACTTACAGAACTTTGAGTGACTTTATTTGGTAGTCTGGAATAGCTCCTGTCAAATTGTTGTGTGATAAATCCCTACATATATTATATGGTTACGTCACAAGGATGTCAAAATAATAACATTTAGCCCATTGATATTTTGTGGTAGGCACGACTTACAAGTTTTCCAGTGATACCATGTTCATGAATGATATGACCAATCCACCTTTCAGTCCGCTGGTAGACAGATTTCTGCAAAACAACTCCTTTTAATACAGGTCTATTAATTTAGTGATAGCATTCAGCTAACTTGTTTTTTAAAGATTATTAAAGTATCATTCTGTGGTTTACACTAAATTACATATGTTTTCAAGATTTCAACTAAATTACATATTTTTAACCTTTGAAGCACATTACATTAGCCAGTAAGATATGTGACTGAGTGTCTCTTGCTAATGTAATGTGCTTCAAAGGTTAAAAATATTGAATTGTGATATTTAGGTTCCAAAATGTAAATATGGGACAGTCCTGGTTATTTTCTTACACTGCGACAATCCTCGGATTCTGGTTGCTCTTAGAGTAGTCGCAAGTTAAACCTTCCCAGGAATACTCTCTTGGGGAGCATGGATCTCCGTTCCAGTTTATTCGTGCCAAATTGTAGTGTTTCTTGACTTCTTTCATGTAATTGACTACAACACCGAAAAGACAATGGAAACAAATATGAGCAGAATAAAGAAAGCTGTATATGTTGTCTATGGGCGCTCATATATGTATTAAAAAGAATGTAAACAATTACTTAACTAGTTGCAAAGTTATTATGTGCAATTTTTATCTATTTAACAGAAGTGAATAAACTGAATGAGGATCATGTGAATCTGCCACGTATACATGCTTGCATAATGCACATGCAGGCTAATACATTGAACTCACCATCGTTGGAGTCAGTGGTGAGGTTATCCATCCGAACGAGTGAGTACACCTCAAACGCATTGATGAGCGGTGGGAGCCTCGATCTACGTGTCCTGTTCAGGCGGAAGATCGCAGCAGGGTTGTGCAAGAACCGCCCGTTCTGGTGCATGCTGTCCACCTGGAAGCGGGACGGCGAGAAGTCTGGGAATAGCAATTCGTTGTCGCTGTAGATATCAAATCTCCTGCTCGGGTTGCTGCTGTTGATCTCAGCAAAATGGAAGATGGGAAGAAGCTCCAGGTTCTTGGCGTCCAGGTTGGGACCCACTGTCACGTTGATCTCGAGGAAGGAGAAGTTCGTGTCTAGGGTAGAGGCCTGCTGGAGGATGCCCTCTGGTACCTGGAAGGTGTTGTCCCCGGGTAGCCTCCTCACTCGATCGCTAGTGTTTAAGCTGATCCAAGGGTACGTGGTCAACAACCAGGCCTCCCAGAACCGGTCGTACGGGTCCAATTTATATCTTCATTGCACACAAAAGACAAGGTGGAAACAGGTAAATAACTAGCCCAATAAACTACTTTTTCGTTTTTACTTAAAGGGCAATAGCCATGACAACGGGCAAGCCCAACTTCTTGTCACATTAACATGACATTAAATTTTATTAGAAGCAATTGCGTGTTTCAAGAAACAGAAAGGAGCAAACACTTTGAATGTGCTGAGCTAGCAAATCGAATTTAAAACCACTGTCAGGCATAATTAAGATCAAATCCAAAATTATTGTGTATGACAGCCATGTCTTACCTTGTGATAAATTCAGTGGTTTCACCAAATCTGATCCGTTTAAAGTAGCTGATTGACACCGAAGAATTCACAAAAGGGTACATCAAATCGTCAAGTGGCCTCAACTCCAGAGCAGACACAAATGGAGTCCCTGAACTGAAGTTTATCAGACAAACTGACACCGAGTTGGCTGGAGCAACGGTGATTACCTCCTTCCATATCGTGAGTGATGGATCCCAATTTGTCATGTTCACCGCCTCCCAGATATTGACGCCGATATGGAGCCCAAACAGAAACAGCGAGCCGTCCCGACTTTTGTTCAACCCATCGTAGTTGCCGTAAGTAAATGTGGCCCTCAGCAGATACTTGGTGCCGGCGGTGGATGGCAGCGTATAGCAATTCCGGGAGCCATCGGGGAAGCTCCTCAGGGTTTTCTGTTGCTCATCTGAACCAACCATAAACTCTGCTGAAATTTTATTGTTTAAACCACCTTCAACAAATCCACTGTCAGGATCGAACTGTATTCCTGTGATGCTGTCATTGTAGGCGCTAGTGTTTGTGAATCCAGAGTCAACGCTTATAAACCCTGCACAACGGCAATATGTATCAATCCCATTTGTTTCAGGAATCCAAGATCTATGCAAAGATCATGACTTGTGCGGCTATGTAGGTATTCAGGATAATATCTGAAGATTTCAGTAAAGTGAAATTGCATGCTAAAGTTAGCTGAACTGTGCATGCAGATTGAGCAGGGGTTAAAGAGGCGCAGGATCAAGAAGGGAAAAGATAGGATGACATGGCTTGTATATATTACCAGGAGGAGACTGGCAGTGGACTTGAATCGTCGTCGTAACCAGGATGAGCAGCAGCGCAAAGATCCATGCCAGTTTTGCATGTGCCGAGTAATAGCTGATCGCCATGGTTCTATCCGGTTCGTGCAATTTTTGGAAGCAAGAAACTGCAAATGGCTTGTGAATTTATATAGCAGAGAAGACAACAAACACGGTCTAGTCTCTCGATCCCTTTTTTATGATTTGTTTGGTGTTTTCAGTGTTTGGACTGACCTGGCCTTACCGCCGGATTAACAATATGTTTTTCTCATTGGCAGGTAAACCTTGTGGCGATAGAAATGGATGCAACTTGCATTCATCTTATAAGAAAAGAAACTCCAACTTGGCATGGAGGATAGGCCGCACGCCAAATGTCGCGGTGCTCTGCAGTCTTCCGTATGCGGCCAACGAACCGCTCGTCAGCGTGATAGCCAAGTCCCAACCCGGGCACAATTGTTTGGCTTGGGCGGGCGAATCGTGCTTGCGGATCGCCCATATCTAAAGCCGCGGACGTTGGTTGTTCTCTGAACCAGCCCGGCATGCCAAATAAAACAAGTGTTACGACCTGCAATCGCCAGATAAAAGAAAGGAGCAAGTTGCAGCGAGCCCGACCGATTCGCTAGGGTGATATAAGAACGACCGGGTGTGAGCTTGGAGGACGCATGTCCGCCGGCCGGTCGGTCTCAAATGTCAATCGGGTTCTTATTATTTTCACCATGTAGTACATCAAGTTTCATCAGCGCGCATGTGGAGGATGGCACTCGGTCGCGCGTCGAATTGTCACAAACAAAGGGCAGGGCAGGTAGAGTTCATCGGCGGGCGGCGACTGTATGTGTGTTCGGGATTCAAACTTGGTTTCAATCTAGTTTGGGGTAGGTCCGTAGGCGTCTCTGTCCCGCTTACGTCGAGAACCGCGTCGATCAGCTCCGCGCCTCAGCGCAGCGAGCAAGACGTCGACAAGCGCAAGCCGTCCCGGCGGGCTGCGACGCCGTCATTTTGGTCACCGCGAGATGACGGCGCGCACGGGACCGAAGTGCGTTTCCTACGGCGAGAGACCGCGCTCCCGGTCCCGGGGACCGGGGCGCCACATTGCATAACGTTTTCGTTTCGAGGGACCAGATTGCATAACGTTTTCGTTTTGAGGGACCAGATTGCATTTACACTGAGCAGGCAAGGCCCTCCCCTCTGCCGTCGCCGTCGGGGGTGGCGGCCAAGGATGGGTTCACGCACGGCGCCGATGTGCCCCGCCCCCCTTCCCTCGCACAAGGCCACCGCCACAACATCTCGGGGCTCGGCCTGGAGGCGCTGCACTAAGCGGCCGAGTCGAGGAGCCGCCTGCGGGCGACCGGCGACGAGGTTAGGTATGTCATGCGGTTGCATTTCTTCCCCTGCATTAGCATCACCCTCTTCGTACCTCAGGTGCCAACTTGCTCATACTTACTAGAGTCAGTAGTAGCTCCAACTCGGGAAATGCTCAGAGGATTTGGTAGCAGGAGCGCGAATTTCAATTTGATTCAACAGCATTGCAAGAGGGAATGCGGGATTGGGGGTAATTAGAACCCAGAGTTCTTAAGAAGCACTGCTTAAGCAGGTCACTTGTTTTAGATCTGGTATGGAACCTAATGTTCGAGTGCCAATTAACAGACCACCGAGTTCTCACTTAGAAGTAGGTGCTCCCTGTTTGAAAATTACTTGAACTAAATACCAAAGTCCGCACAATTATTATTTTTGCCCCTCATCAAACAACAATCAAGATCAGAAAATGGAAACCACATTTCTGTTTATCAACAACCAATAATGGCAGGTGAGCTACCAAACTTTGTCTAACAGACACAACGATAACTTGGTAGGCATTTTCCTTTCACCGTCCAGATAAGGGGATCAATTCTGTCATCCTGCTCGAGCTGGAGCTCTCGTCGTTGCCTTCTCCAGAAATCAACAAGTGGAATTGCCTTCGCATTTCGTCATTCATGGACTTCGTAGAGGACGCGGAAGCATACTGTTTTTCGCTCAGAGTTGTTGGCAACAACACTTTTAGCCTTGAAACAACCTCAGTCATGCTCGGCCTGTCGATGGCTGCACTTTCTACGCATTTCATGGCCAGGTCCACCACACCCTGCAGGGAACTGGGGTCATTCTGATCCAACAGCCTCTTGTCCACGATATCTTGAATACTGCCTTTTGCAATCTTTTGGCGTACCCAGTTTGGTAGGTGGTAGGTGTGAGGGTCCATCAATATCGGGGGCTTGCCAGTGATGATCTCCAAGAGCACGATGCCAAAGCTGTAAACGTCTGTCTTGATGGTGAGCTGGAAAGTTGCGTGGTACTCGGGATCAAGGTAGCCAAGAGTTCCAGCAGCAACAGTAGATATGTGTGTGTGTGCATCGTTAAAAGCGCGCGAAAGCCCAAAATCAGCTATTATCCCCACCAGGTTCTTGTCCAGAAGGATGTTGGCAGTCTTGACATCTCTGTGAACTATTGATGGGGTGCATGACTCATGTAGATATTCCAGTCCTGTAATTTACTTTGTTAACATATGCATACATACACACATACATCACCTAAAGGGGAGCATGTAAATGAAATGCGAACCTTGTGCTGAATCAAGTGCAATATGAAGCCGTTGTTCCCAATTCAAACTGTAGTCATCTCCTGCATCAAGACGTACCAAAGTTAATGTAAGTGCCACAAGATACATGCTTGGTATTATACATACTTGCTTTGTAATTTTTGCACATTTAACTTCAGAATGATGTTAAAACACACAATGATTAAGCATGACATCAGTTGGCCTATTATGGTCTAAACCCAGTATAATAGGCACTTTGATCTTCGAGAGGTCACTGCTTTTCCTTCCATTTAACAAAGATTTTTTATTAACAAAAGAACCAAGCTATTTAAAGTATTCTTTGAATATGTACTTCTGTCATTGCTTTGTTTCTTACTGGTTTTGAATATGTAACTATCGAGTCATAATTATGACTGAGTAGTGAAGTATGTAACTGTGATGCTGTAACGCCCGGATAATCATGCTACAGTGATCTCATGTTAATGGTGACACGTCACCTCTGTCACTGTAATTAATCTCGGGTTAATTCAAAGCCGTTTCAAATTTAAATCCTAAATAAGTCAAACGTCAAAAGTTTTCAAATATTAAAATAAAATGTTCGGGCCATGTCTAATATTGCATCGGTAATTATGGCGTAGTAAACACCTTTTTATAAAATGCCTAATTACTTTTAGATGAATTTAAACAGGAAAGAAATAAATAAAAGAAAGGAAATACAAAAGAGAAACACACACA